AGCTGGATCTTGCCTTGAACTTCTGCCGAGCTGGAGAACAGCTGCAATGTGGAAGAAAAAGAGTTTAGCGAAATGCCAGCTCCATATTCCTCGTACAGATCAAACGTTTGAACATGCGTGCTGTTCAGTGAGGTTCCATAAACTTCTAAACAGCCTAAGGGGCTTGAATTCTCAAAAACCACTGGATTTTTGAATGCAGCAAACATCTCCCATTTGGCAAAACAAGTGTAAAGTGTACTGCAGCTCTCGTTGGGAAAGAAATTACTAGATCACTCAAGTCGTTATATAAAATGGTGTTTGAGATTCTCAGCCGTAATGTTTATTTTCCAGCACCGCAAATCATTTTTCACAATTTACAAATGTAATGTGAGACTATTTTCTGGACTGGAGAAGTCTAGGACAGCCAAAAATACAAAAGACAAAGTGTGGGAAAAGAAAAACAGATACTTGAAGTAACGCTGTGACATTCATGACAGTTTTTAGGCTGTTTTCTTCTCATGTATTTCGCAGTTCTAGTGAAAAAGATACTGAATTAATTCATACATCACTCCAGTTACTTTTTTTAATTGGAAAACAAATACCTTTATCTTAACTCATTTTCTGGGAATGCTTCAGGAAAAAGTAATATTGTCAGAAGTTGGCCTTGTTCCCATTTGTGTAGTTGAGTAGGAAATGGCCAACCTGCTCTTTGTGTCTTGCCCAAAATTACCATCTGTACTATTAAACTTTCCAGCTCAAAATTGGCTGCATCTCAGTGGCCCATGAAAGAATTGTGATTAAGTATAAATACCTGCACATTACCGTACAGAGTCTTTATAATGTCCTCGATTGTGAAAAATCCCATGTAAAGGTAAGGAGACAGCATTATAAGCAGAAGTGAGAAAACTGTGATGAAATCAAGATCTCTTTCATAGCTGTGTTACTAAAATACTAAGAAAGTCCAACTTTGAAAAGAAAGTTGCTTGTAAATGGAATCATGACCTCATGTTTTATCATCTCAGTCTGCCCTATCGTCTAAAGTGGCTGCAGAGATCAGTGCTGCTGTATTTAGCAAGATATACGCTTTGATTACCATGTTTGGTAAAGAATTGCCTTGGTTTCATTTTATCCCCAGAGGTGGCAAGTGTGAAAAGCTTTTCCTTACAGCATGAGAAATTCCCACCCCGGTAAATGAAGGCAACACCGTTTCCTCTGCTAGCAAACACGCTGGCTACACCGGCAGATGAACATCCCAGCTCTGTGAAGCTATTACTGTTATTTCACTTGGAAACAGCAGCATCTTAAATGTCGTTGTTGGTACTAATTCATCACCTTTTAGGACACAGCACTCAGTGCAGGGGCAATTTGTCCAGTCCCAGGCAGCTACAGGGCTGACACATACCGAACACCGAACTTTCCTTTTACAGATCTTTTCTGCGGATGAAAGACTGCATGTTTCAGGGCATGGTCCTTCCCCAGTGTGACCAAACAAGAAGTGGGCTATATTTTCACATTACTCCTTCTCATTAACGTTGCTGTTGCCATCGAGTCTGCATAAGAAGAAAAATACCACTAAAAACTGAAAAAAAAGCCCTGGGATTAAATCCTTCAAAAGCAAACAGACTGGAAGAGCAGTCCTTGGGTCATTTTTTCTCTAGCTCAGGTGACACCTGTACTGATGTCTGGAGGTCCCAGGATGAAACCTTGCTGATCTGCCACCCATGGGAGGTCATTTCATCACCATAACACAAGGTGTAACGCTCCTTCATGCTTCTTCAAGATAAAATATTACTTACTCCAGCAGGCAGTGCAGCTATGGAAATCACAAAACCCGGTGATCACTGGAGTGCTGGAGTAAGGGTGATTCTTCTTATATTCTGGGTGCTTCTGCTGGAGACAGAGGTCTCTCCAGGTTATCTCCTTGGCAAAAAGTAGGCCCAGGCAACTCAAGGTTGGTGCAGGAGGCAGTTCTCCTACTTTTGTAAGTATAAAATGGATATATGGAGCTGATTCTTCTAACTGAGCTCTCTCTTTTGTCCTGGTACAGGAGAGAGACTACACTGTTCAACAGCGATGCATTTCAGAAACATCTCAATAGCTGCAGATGTGTGGCGGTTATGGTCAGATTGTCACTGTTCAACCAAGATAAGACAACAGTGATCATAACAAACAATACCCTCCCTGAGCTGAATTGTAACCACACGGCATTTTACACTGAAAAGCAACTTGGAACTGTAAAATACTCCACAGCTAATCAATACACATTGAAGAAGCTCAATTTTTAAACTACAAAGGTCTCTTGAGGGCTGGAGAGTCACAGCGCCAAGGAAGGCAGTAACGGTCAGTGCACTGGGATGTTGATTTTGAACTTTGGGCCAATGACTGTGGTTTTGAGTGCAGCAGCTCATGGCAATGATTTAACAGAAATCAAATTCTATCCACTGGGTCCAATTCCTACAATCAATGAGCTGATCCCTTAGCCCTGCTACACAGTGGAGCCAACTAGAGCATGTAGTTAGGAGTGGGAAGAGGACGTGGGTTTTGGGGCACTCCACACTGAAACTGTATTAAACATAACAAGAAATCATACCCACGGACTGTGGGCTCAGTTCTGGCTGGCTGTAGGGTCAAAGTCTGAGAGACTTCAGGGGTGCTGCCAGGACAAGCCATTCCTGCCTCATTTTTGCTGTTTGCATCATCACCTTGGCTGGGGAGCTCAGCTGCCTGTTACCAGCCATATGCAGATAACACGGAAAAACCACAGCCAGGGTAAAAAAATAACAGAACTGGTCCTGTTACTTAAGGGGTTATAGTCACAACAGAGCCTAAGGCCTCTATCTCCTACAGGACCGGCAGCACATCGTGCTATCATGTTCTTCCATTTCTTGACTGCAAAATGGAGATAACAAGAGTCTAAATGGACCTGGGCATCACTGCTTGGAGCAGTGCTGAGCCTGGGGTTTCACTCATGTCTTCTGGGTCTGTTCGCTTGTCTGCATAAAGTCTCTCAGGCAGGGAGAGTGACAAAAGCATATGACATGGTCAATGGAAGCGGAGAGCACGCTGTGGCTATCTGGGGCTTGCAAACACATTTCAGGGGGACTGCGTGGTCTGAGGGGGAGAGAATCAGCCCTGTGAGCGAATGCTGTAGCAGGAGAGCGCTGGGGGCTACAGTGAAAAGTGGGCAGGGTTTGGCAAAAAACTGTCTTCGGTCTCTCGTATCTAAGTGAAGGAGTCATCTAGTGTAACTATGGCCACCTCAGGCTTAAGGCTTTCATTTTAAACTAGATTCTAGAGGAAGCTTGGAGGTCTGCGAGGAGGCACCCTGTGGCCATATCCCCATCTCCAAATGGGAAGCTCTGTGCAGTGTCTCCCTTTCTCTGCCTCTCTCACCTTCTACTCAATACAGAAGAAATCTGGATGACCAGCTCCGACTAGATGCCTAAGTTTTAGATAGATGAAGTTAGGTGAGATGAATTCCAGCCTCAGTATTGTGGCATTACATTACATTGCTGAGAAGCAAAGAGAAAGGCAACATCCACAACTCCACTACCAAGCCCTCCCTAAACCAGGTGGGAAGTTACAGTTCCTTGAGAAGAGGAGAGAAAGATGGGTTAAACAAATCCAGCACCCAGCCATCACCCACTGCACAGCTTTTATTAAGTCAGAAGCAAACAGAAACCAACGTTTAGTTCCTTGGGTAACTGTAGGAGGGGAGCAGAGGGTGTGGGGAAGGTGAGACACAGCGTTGGTACCCTCCACTCCAGTCCATGGATGATAATGCATAATAAGATAAAAGATTCTCCTTTTCCAGCCCATCAGTCACCCTCTTTACAAGATCTAGAAAAGTCCACCAGTCATTCTCCATTCTCCATCTCCATCTGCAGCAAAGCTGCAACCATAGAACCATAGAACAGTTTGGGTTGGAAGGGACTTTTAAGGGTCACCTAGTCCAACACCCCCTGCAATGAGCAGAGACATCTTCAACCAGATCAGGCTGCGCAAAACCCCATCCAACCTGACCTTGAATATTTCCAGGGATGGGGCAATCACTAAAGATTTAATTGTGGTGAGTGAAGACACCTCGGAGCCCCCTGAATAAAAGCTGCTCTGGCAGCTGTAGTCATCCTAAACCCATATGGCAATTCACCCTGCACACATCCAGCAGCAGAGACCCATACGTGTCATCTCTTATGTCACTGGTCACCCTTTAAGACCTCCATGTGATAGCTAAAGCTTTTCACATGTGAAGAAGCTACATCAGCCTGACAAATCTATTTGAGTTGATGGAGCTAAACCTTTACGGACATGTGGGTCAGCGCTTCCTAGATGATGAGACTCCATGAGCACATCACAGGTGAGGTAAAGCATGACAGGCCATCTTGAATACTTTACTGGGACCACCAATTCCACGCTCGCTGCCTTTTCTTCCATCCTTTGTTTGCTTCAGCATTGCTGCCTCCTCTCTTCCCTTAACTTATAGCAAGCTAATTTAGCATCCAGACTTTAGCTCTTCCCTTTATACAGGGCTCTCCTCTTTGTATATGCGAAGCTCCATGCTCAGCAGCGTTTCGTCTTCAGCCCCAGTGTCTGAGCCCTCCTCAGGGAGCTGCCATTGCTGCCAAAATACCTCAGTGTTTGGTCAAAGGTGCCTCGTCTCCCCCTTTTAAGGGGAGTTGGTGGCTGAAATGTGTGTTTATTTTTTTGCCAATGGGCTCAGATGGTTGGTTTGTCTGTCTGTCTGTCTGTCGTCAGTCAGTCAGTCAGTCAGTCAGTCAGCCGAGCTTAAGCATCACCTCACAAAATGGCGGCGCGGCTCCTTTAAGACGCGCCCTCACCCTGGCCTGGCTCAGCCCCGCCCCTTCAGTAGCGGGGAAGGGGGCGTGGCTTGGAGAGACGGAAGGCGCCCAGCGGCCCTGAGGTGCGTTTCGGTTGAGTGACAGCGGTGCAGCCCAATCAGATGGCAGAGGGTGAAGGGGGGAGGTGGGCCTTCCGACGGGAGCTGCTGGGGCGGTGCAGCTCGAAGTGAGGGGGGCGGCTGGCGGCGACATGATTAAGAAGTTTGACAAGAAGGACGAGGAGTCCGGTACGGGACTGGCGGCGGCGGGAAGGGAGCTGGGGGCAGACCCAGGGGTGGTCATGGCGGTACAGCCCTGCGGGGAGCGATGGTTAGGCGCCCAGCGCGGGCCGCGGCCTGTAGCTGCCGCTGACGTGGGGGAGGGAGAGAGGGGGGGGGGAGG